CGGGGAGGAGCCGCGCTCGGCCGCGCCCCCTCCGTCTACCCTTCTCCGCCTGGGCCCGCCGCCCAGCTCGCGTCCCCCTGGCGCGGGGGTCAAGAGCCCAATGCCGCTGGCGTGCGAGAAGGCGCCGAACCGCCGGAGCTGGCAGGGAGCAGGGGGTGTTCACGGCTCTGCCCAAAGGCCTGGTCGGTCCGCCAGCCTCAGTTTCCCCATCTGCGCCGGGAGGAGCAGGAATGAGCTAAAGGTCCCCATGCTGAGATTCCAGGAGTGGGCCACAAAGGTAACAGCAGAGACCCTTGGCTCTTCTGTGTTTTCAAAAGCTCAGCTCATGGACACGTTTCGGGTCTTGTTTTGGGTGGCCATTCCTCAGGTGTATACACGAGAACAGTTTTATCCAGCTGTAATATCAGGTGGACGCACCTTGCGTACGTGAGACCCCCATAAAAATGTCTAGGGACAGGTTTTCCTCTGTGTTGGCTGAACCTGCCAATTGCAAGGTCAAGTTTGCTTGTGTGGGCTGGACCCATCCCAAGCCCCTGGGGTCGCTGGGTTTACTTCAGGGTGCTCAGGCGTTCTCCCGCGGAAATGCATGCATCTTACTAATGTTAGAGTGAGTGCGGTCTCCCCTGAGCCCATTCAGCCATCCTGTGGTTCCAGAATGTCCCACCTGTCCTACAGGTGAGGAAACTGAGACTCTGAGAGGTGGAGCAACTTGCCCTGGGTCACAGAGCTAACATGTGGGAGAGCTGAGATGCCAGAGCCTGGCGGCCCGGGAAACAGTTTGCAGGACAGGCCAACACCTTCCCGGACCATCCACGCTGCCCCTTCCCTGGGAGCCCAGGACCCCTTACACACCCCAGGCAAGACTCCAGAGCAAGGCGCCCGTGGGGAAAACCTTGCCTTTCTAGTTTCCAAAGTGGGAGAAGGCCAAGGAGTGGATGATGAGAATCTGCAGGTTGACACGTTAGACCTGTGGTCCCGATAGCACCCCTCCGGAAGCCGGGGTTTACAGACTCCTGTGTTAGTCATCTCCAAGGCTGCGTTCCTTTCCTGTCGTCTGGGTCTTCTCCTCTAGGACAGCCTGGGCACCCGCCATCAGGATGATCCCACCTCACTCCTCCTCGGGCCAAACCAAAGATCCTCTCCACCTGGTCTTGGCCTTGCAGAGCCTGGTTGGAGTCCACAGAGGCTGTCCCTGACCAGCCAGGCTGTCAAGGCTGCTGACCGAATGTCCAGGACCCTGAGGACCCTCCTTGGGTAGCCTGCTGATCCAAAGAGTACCCGCGCCAGGAATATAGCAGGAACCTGGGCTCTCCCTGGGGACCTAGCTTTGATGGAAGGACGCGGGTCCCCACCTTTCCCTTCCTCGTGCTCACTTGTGCTGCCCAGGTGGCTCGGTGGGGTAACCTTCCGTGAGGCTGGAAGTCTCTAGGAGCAGAATCTGTAAGAGGAATGTGACAGAGGCTGGCATTTGGGCATCTCAGCCCCTGGCTAACTACCTGTCAGGCCTGGTGCCGTGGCCCCTCCCTGGGGCCTCTTGAGAGGCAGGGCTGCCTTGGGAAGAAACCCACGGCGGCCCCAGTGACCATCCCCTAATCAGCCCAGGCTCTTGGAGTTTCAACACCACTGAGGTCGGGCCCCTGGGGACTGTTGAGTGCCCGGAATGGAGTCACTTAATCTCCCCAACCCTGGTTTCCTCATCTGTCAAAGAAGTACAGAAATAGGGCCGAGCTTTCTGCTGTGGGAGGGAAAAGGGTGTGTGCAAAAGGCCGGGCCTGCGGCCCCAACTTTGTCGGGGCTCCCCTCTCCACCTCCGTCTCTTACTTGCGTGGCCCATTTATCGGCTGTCCCCGCTCCAGTGTGGCAGCTCTGTGACAGCAGGGCTCTGTCCCCAGGGCCTATGGGGGGTCTGGCATGAAGGCGTGACTTGTTTTCTCCTGCTCCTGTCCCACCCTGCAGCCTGCATCTGGAAACCTCAGGACAGCCAGACCTCCTCCAAGCTAAGGCCGCTGCCCTGTTCACCCCCACGCAGAACCCTGCGGGAAGCCTTAAGGCCATGGACTTAAAGCTTGTCCTCAGCCTTAAACCCACATTCAGGCCAGGACGGGGCCCAGGGCCTCAACTGCCTCCTCCGCTTTCATGCGGTCTTTACCCGTCATGACCCTGGAGGCATCGAGCAGTTTGTATTACTGCATTACAGTTTCTACACAAGTCTCTCAAAAGTTTAGTTATCGTGGGGCGCCCGGATGGCGCGCTTCAGTTGAGCATCCGACTCTTGATTTCAGCTCAGGTCATGATCTCACGGTCCGTGGGTTCGAGCCCCGCATCAGGCTCTGCACTGACAGCCGGATCCTGCTTGGGATTCTCTCTCTCCCTCTCTTTCTGCCTGTCCCCCGCTCATGAGGGCGTGCTTGCTTGCTCTTATAAATAAATAAATAAATAAATAAATAAATAAATAA